CAGTCCAGGATGTTCACAACACTCACTTTTTTTCAGAATAAGTTTCTTCGTCCAGTGCTGAAGCAGGTCTGAGGTTCTAGGTGGTTCTGAGGGCAGGAAGAGGGGGCACCAGGCGTCATTTGTTCATAAGACTTTTGTAAGACTGTGGGTGAATGAAATGGGTGATTTCAAGGGAACATTTATTTAATGACCCCATTAGAACTTGAGTGACTGAGAGTTTTTTATATTGATTTCCTGGTTTGTATGAGATGGGTTCAAACCTACAATGACCTACCCTTGGATGTGAGCCAGGCTGTACCATGAAGGGGGGCTTCTGACCTTCTGCAGTGAGTGGTGCTAGGTGGTTCAGGGGACACGTTTTCCTGTAGACACCAGCAGACAACATCTGCCCCCATCCATGCATGGTACCCTGCTGAGGTTTGGCCTTTGGTCTGTGTCCCGCGCATCTCCTGTGTTGCTCACTGCACAATTCCCTAGTATACATCAGTTTTGGCTCTTCTCTTCTCTTCTCTTCTCTTCTCTTCTCTTCTCTTCTCTTCTCTTCTCTTCTCTTCTCTTCTCTTCTCTTCTCTTCTCTTCTCTTCTCTTCTCTTCTCTTCTCTTCTCTTCTCTTCTCTTCTCTTCTCTTCTCTTCTCTTCTCTTCTCTTCTCTTCTCTTCTCTTCTCTTCTCTTCTCTTCTCTTCTCTTCTCTTCTCTTCTCTTCTCTTCTCTTCTCTTCTCTTCTCTTCTCTTCTCTTCTCTTCTCTTCTCTTCTCTTCTCTTCTCTTCTCTTCTCTTCTCTTCTCTTCTCTTCTCTTCTCTTCTCTTCTCTTCTCTTCTCTTCTCTTCTCTTCTCTTCTCTTCTCTTCTCTTCTCTTCTCTTCTCTTCTCTTCTCTTCTCTTCTCTTCTCTTCTCTTCTCTTCTCTTCTCTTCTCTTCTCTTCTCTTCTCTTCTCTTCTCTTCTCTTCTCTTCTCTTCTCTTCTCTTCTCTTCTCTTCCCTTCCCTTCCCTTCCCTTCCCTTCCCTTCCCTTCCCTTCCCTTCCCTTCCCCTCCCCTCCCCTCCCCTCCCCTCCCCTCCTCTCCTCTCCTCTGTCTTTCCTGGTGTTCCAGATCCATGAGAAACAAACTGTTCTGTGTAGCCAGATTCTTAAAATGCTTCTTCCTTCCTCAACTTACTCAAACCTCTCCACCTACCTCTGTGCCATGTGAATTGAGACTTCTGGTTCTCAAACATCTGGCCCCTCCAAACCCCCAGTCCTCCTCTGTCTTGCAAACTCCCTGCTCCTTAGAATCCTGTGCCATCTGGCGTCTCATCTTGCCCTTCCCACTACTGTCCATGTGTGCAGACACTGGACACAGTCCTTCACTCTTGGAGGTTGAGCTTCTAGCTCAGCTTGCAGCTCTGCGCCTGGCTTTGTATTATTCCGGTAAACGCTAACTCCTTCTCATGTCGATGAACCAGCTCTTTTGGGCCAATCTTATCATCCCTGTGATGTTTTTCATCCCCTATTCATACAGTTCTCCTTCAGCTTTATCGCCTCCAGAAGAGGTGCCAACTCCTAGTATTTTCTTTCCAAGAAGCAGCCCTTATTTTTATAAACTTTTAAATCGAGATATGCACATGACTGAATTCAACCTCATGAAGACTTTTAATTACTGGGTCCAACGTTTTCTCTGGCCATTGGCCCTCTTCACATTTAACATTTCTTTCCACTTGGAGCCAGACTGCATTATCTACCACCATAAACACTGCCTAGGAAACACAGATATCCATAGTCCTGTTTGCCAACTCTGGAAAAAACCCTAGACTTAGTAATGTGACTTCCACCTTGGACACTGTGGTGGTTTGCATGGGAATGGATCCCATGGGCTCATACGTTCAGATACTTGGTTCCTGGTTAGTAGAATAGTTTGGAAAGGATTAGGAGGTGTGGCCTTGCTAGAGTGGGTGTGGTCATGTTGGAGGAGCTGTGTCAGTGAAGGTGTGCTTTGAGGTTCCAAAAGATGCAGGAGTGTGTCAGGATGGCCGAGTGGTCTAAGGCGCCAGACTCAAGTTCAGCTTCCCAAAAGATGCAGGAAATTCCAAGGGATTTTTCTCTCTGCTTTGTGCTTGTAGATCAAGATGCAAAGTCTCAGCTACTGCTCAACACCACACCTGCCTGCCTGCCTGCAAGATGCTATGCTCCCTGCAACATGACAGACATGAACTTCTATCCATCTGAAACCATGAGCCTTAGATAAACCCTGCTATAAATTGCCTTGGTCATGGTGTTTTAGCGTAGCCATAGAAAAGCAACTAATATGAGCACACACCCTGAACTTGGGTGCTCTTCACTGAAATGGCACAGCTGACCCCACACTTAAAATGAGCTTTAAAGCGTCCCTGTGGTTTCATCCCGTTTCTCTGGCAGCATGTTGTCTTTCTTCCCAATCTGCTCATGTGTCACTGCCTTTCCACTTCATCTTCCTCTGCTCCCTGATCACCCTGCAAGGAATCTATGCTATGCTCTTTCTCCTTCATTCCCTGACTTCAGTTTTGTATTTCTCTAGACAGTATATATCACAGAGGATACATACTGAACATGTCTATGTATATGTGACAGAGCTTATTTTTCCCAGTCTGAAGTGACGCTGTGACGCTGTACCTCTATCCCTATAACCTAGAATGATTCACAGCACACAGTAGGTCCTCAGGATGGTTCTTTCCTATCTTCCTTCTAATGAAAGGAAAGAAGGAGTGGAGTTTGCTTTTCTAGGACACAGACATCAATATTACGGAGATGTAGTATGTTGCCATAACTAATCAGGGTAATATTAATTTTGATTATTGCTTGATTAAATTCTAGGAGAATGCAAAGTGGCCCAACTTGCATGCAAATCTAAGGAGATTATTACAGTTGGCTTCGTTCCCTATTAATTACGCAGTGAGTCTGAAACAAATATGGAAACAATTTGCAAATATTGGTGCGAGTCAGAGAGAAGGCTCCATTATCTGAACAGAAGCACTGGGGTAACAATTAGTAGTTCTTTCAATAAGTCTCAGGTTCTCAAGGAAAATGAGGCTCTCGGGGAGATGAATGTGTGGAGGAGCCAGGTAACAACTGGTGCCTGTAACACGGGAAGACTGATTTAGCTTGGCCTTGAGTTAACATTTATATCTGCAATTCTAGAGGCTTACAATATAAGGAATCGAGGAGGCATACAATAACTTTTCAATGGCGCAGAGAAGATTCCAACTGCTGACCCGCCCCAGGCTTTCTCCGGTTTTAAAATCAGTGGTAACAGGCAATGGTCCTCTGCCATACACACATACTGTGATAGCTGATCTCACTGTCAATGTGAAGAGGTCTAGAATTGTCTTGGAGATGGGCTATGGGCATGCCTATGAGGGATTATCTTTGTTACATACATTGAGTTGGGAAGACACAGCCACTATGGGCAGCGCTATTCCCTAGGCCAGGATCTTGCTCTGTGTGAGCAGAAAAAGAGCTGAACATTGGGAAGTACCCATTGTCTCTGCTTCCTGACTGTGGATGCTATGTGAGCAGCTGCTTCCAGCTTCTGCCTCTGTCTCACCTCCCTTCACTCTTGAACTGAATGGCAGAACAAACTCTTTGTCTCGTAAGTCGATTCCATTAAGGTATGGTATCAAAGCAAGAAGAAAAGAAACTTAGACTCATAGAAAACAAAGGCACAGCCCCAGAACTCACTGGCAAAGCTGAGTCATTATGGTTCCATTTGCCTATTGTGTGGACAGGGCTGGCAAGGAGTAGAAATCAGCACGAGACTATCAGGTCAACCGACATGTTGCCAATTATTTAGTTTAAGTGTTGCAAGGACAATTTAACACCAAGACTGACATCCTGGTGTAGACTCTGTAATTTCAAAGAGGATCAGGAAGAGGTACAGTTGTCCTTGATTTCCATGAGGATCACTTTCAGTATTCCCACTGGATACAAAACTTTGGGGGTACTCAAGTCACTGGCTAATACAGAATGGTGTAGTAGTATTATACATAATGTATACGCATCCCATAGTGGACTTTAAATCATTCCCCAATTACTAATACTGTCTAATATAATGCAAATACTATATACATATTTTACTGTGTTTATAAAATTTGTACTAATTTTTATTGTAATGTTTTTGTGTTGATATAAATCAACACACAAGTGTGTATGTGTATGATGTTTTTGGGGGACATACACATGCCACAGTACGTATGTGGAGATCAGAGGACAACCCCGAGTGACAGTTCTCATGTTTCACCTTGTTTGGGACAGGGTCCTTTTGTTGCACATGGCTGCGGTAGCTATCTTGTGCAGGAGGGTGTTCCCCTCTCCTTCTGCTGTAGGGACATAGGGATGAACCATTGTGCCTGACTTTCCATGGGTCCTGGAGACTCAAACTCAGGTTACACTTCTGTGGCAAGTGGCTTTATCTCCCTACCTTATTGTTAGTTCTTTCCCAAATATTTTCAGTCTGTGGTTTGATGAATCTATAGGTATGAACCCAGCAATACAGAAAGCCAATTTGATTTTAATCAGTCAAAAGTTTGAGTGTGTGTGTGTGTGTGTGTACCATCCTTTAGATGTGACATGTTCACCTGCATGTAGAAAGTGGTCGCTCTAAAGTGTAAGTAACACCGTGGGTACAAAGGAGCCTGCATCACACTCACGGGTACATCAGGAATTTCTGTGCCTATTGATGCCGTGGGCACAATTCATCTCCGCGTTTGTTTGTTTGTTCATCTGCCACTCTGCAGCGCCTGCCTACCGCTCCAGCCTTGAGATGAAATGCTCTGGCAGCGAGCAGATGTACCAATTAATAACCTGTCGGGTCTGACGGGTAGAAGAGGGGGAGGTGTCCTCACATGTACCTCTGCCGTGGCTTTCTTCCCTATTTCTGGGTGCTGTGGGTCATGAGACACATGCTGCCTCCCCAGGGAGGGTCCAAGCTGTCTCATTAGTGTCTGTCTTTCCTGACACTGTGATGCGGCCTTTGGAAGCCCGACTCACCTGCTCTTCTCCAAGAATCCGGAAGTGATGGAGCTCTTTAATCAGGGAGTTGGGACAGCCAGCTGTGGGGAAAGGAGAATTAATCACTCAAGTGTCGCTGTCATTCCGTGCGGTAGTTCCTTTCTCATACACAGCTATGACTGCCAACAGCTGGTGCTGATGCTGACGGGGACACGGACGCGCACCTGAGAACACAAGTCTCACCAAGCACCAAGTTGTGCCGGCCAAGGCTTGGGCTCAGACTGTAGCGCTTTGGGAAAGGCCTGTATGTGAACCCAACCAGACTTGTCCCCTGGAATGAGGACTATGACCTGGCCCTAGGGTGTTGTGGTCCTACTGACATTTATAAATGTGCCCTGATACAGAGCTAGGCGCCTGTGGGGCTGGAAGGGGGAAGCCACTGACTGTAGGTGTTCACAGGTTGACCAGGTGGTATTTCCTGGCCACTAGGGCCTGGGTTCTGTTCACTAAGGCTTGGGAATGGAGGCAGAATGACTGGGCATCCTCTCTTCTCAGGTTTGCTGGAGTTGAGGAGATTGCCACTGCTTTCCAGTTCCCTCATCAATCCTGAGCTCCTCGGCTTTCCATTGTCTTCCTTTAGTCCATAAAACAAAAATAAATAAATCATATACGTACATTTAGAGATGTACGCATTTGCAAGTGCTTAGTATCAGCTAGAGCATGTTCTGTCCCTGCCTCCTCAATGGAATTAGGTTCTAGTCATTCATAATATTAACTCCAGAAACAAAACTGATATTAAAAACCTGTTCTTCCGAGATAAGACCAACGGATTGCATAAATTCACTGACATTTCCATTAAGGAAATTGGATCCTATGCAGAACACTCCAGAGAAGCCCTGTGTCAGGTCTCCTTCACTCAGCCCAGGAGGTCAGAAAGCTGTAGGGACTGAGGGGGCTTCTGGGTGAGGGCAGGTTAAGGAAGGACAAGATGTGCCTTCACATAAGCGACGTTGTCCTCAGCACGAGTGTTCTAGAAGGTAGAATAGAGTCACAGTGTAGGCTAGCAATGAGAGGTACCCACACAGGCTGAATATGGACACGAGATTTTAGAGGGAACTTGGGTGATGATGATGGTATGCATCAGTTTGACTAATGTGACACCGGGGGAGGAGGCAAAACAGAACGTTGCTAGCATTTGATTGGTGGGTTGGACATAGGAGAGCTACCCTCACTTACATCACTGAGCAACACACAACCCATCCAGGGCAGTGAGCAGAAGGGGAAGGATGCAGGAACAGATGCCGGGATGGACGCCTTCTGGAAGAGGACACAAACCTTTTCTTGCCCTCAGACCTCAGAGTCCCTGGTATTTATTCCTTTGATCTGGGGCTTGTATCGGGTCCTGCCCCAACTCCTTTAAGCTTTTGTTCTCAAGGTGAATTACACCACACCTTCCTGGTTCTCTGGCTTGAGAGGGCAGAGTGAGATTTCTCAGCTCTCCTACCCACATGCACCAATTCCAATAAACGCCTTCCCATATGTTTTTGTGATGGCCAACTTGTAGTCAACATGACTGAATCTTGAATCAGCTAAGAGAAAAGCCACGGGGAAATTCTGTGAGAGACTTTCTTCATCAGGTTAAATCCTGTGGCCATGGTGAACACGGGAATACATTTTAGTCTTAGATATTATACAGCACCTCATAATGAGAAGGTTGTTCATAAGTGAGGTGATGCAGGGGATTTTGTTGTGTAAGATATAAGGGAAAGTACCGAGGCAAGTATTTTGGTGGCAAACACACACACACACACATTAATTGCCACAGTCATGCCCAATAGCATGGAGGAACTTTGGCTTCTTGTGGTGACGGCTGAGTAACAGCCATCATGGAGCCTTGCCAGCGAGGAAGGCTCAGCCTGAGAGGCTTGTTCATTTCCGGGTTGCTGTTCTGAGGACTGAAGAGTTAGTGAGGGTGGCTGTGCCGTTTGGTTGGCAGTGCAGCTGAGAAGCGCTATAGATTTCCTTGGGATGGTTTTGTTTTCTGAAACCATGACTGAAGGAGCAGAGATGGACAGGATGCAGGGGCTGCATCGCTCAGAATTTATAATCCAAGGTCTCTGCTGGAGTAACAAGAAGTGCCTGAAATTGGCTCTCAACTTCCAGTTCTTCACACTGTGGTGCTCCCGACCATAAAATTGTTGTCATTGCTACGTCATAACTGTAATTTTGTTATTCTTATGAATTCTAATGTAAACATTTGTGTTTTCCAGTGGTCTTAGGTGACCCCTGTGAAAGTGTCATTCTCTCTCCCTCCTCTCAAAAGGGTCTCATCCAGAGGCTAAGAACCACTGGCCAAAGGGAAAGGGGCTGGTAAACTGGGGATCACACACAGTCCAGGGTGGCATGCAGAGATGGAGGACCAGTTACTCAGAACCCTGTTTGTATTTGAGCCTTTTAGCTACACAAGCATAAGATACTGATACCTCAGTTTATATCTAGGAATATTTAAAGATACATTATCATAAAGATTATCTGTTCAATCTAAAAGTTTTGGAATCCTTTTTCTCCTTTATCAGTGGTTGTTGACATCGCTCAAAAATGGGAAGAAAAATGGTCTCAACATTTTGAAACAGAACGTGAAATTAGCTCGTCTTCAGAATTTATATTCTGGCCCTCTCCTAAGACATGAATAAAGGATTGATGTCAATGATAGCTCAAAGATAAACATCCTGAGCAGACGACACAATTACCTTAAGCACCTGCAGGGTACCACAAACTAGCAAACAAGGATGGGTACAGCATATATTAACAAGTGGGTAGAGCCAAGGGTATCTGAGACATGCATGGAGTGATGCCCGTCAGCTGTGCCGAACATGGGGACATAAATATTGGAAGGAACAGATGCGGGCTTAGTGCAAAGACGGAGCCTAACCCCACAGAACGAGAAATGTATGACAGGCACACGGAATGTGTCAGTGCTGGGCAGGGCACGTGAAATTTGTTGGGTAAAATCGTGTCACGTTCTACCGAAAATAGCACAAGGAGAGGAAGTTTTGAAGGACAAGATGCATGCCCGATAGCAAGAAAGACTCACAGAGAATCCACCAGACCTATAATCTTACACAAGGTCACCGTGAGCCTGCAAAGAATGCTTCTGCAAGGCTATATGCTCAGCAGCTGTCTGCCCAACCATGGACTACATGGCCCTATTGGTGATCCCTGTGACGAAGGAGTAGCACCCGCGCTGACTCTCTCCATTTGCCTCAGAGCCTTTCGCTCACCTCAATCTCTAACATGCTCGTTAGTGATGGCACATGCGCTCCCATCGCCACCCTCCGCCTTTCCCAAATAAACTCATTAATCGGCGGGCATTTTTCCTGCACGTTATTTTCGGTTAATGGGGGACAGGAAAATGGGAAGGAGGGAAGGCAGGGAATGTGGGGGTGGGTTCTCAAAACACTGCTTTGTGTCATTCTCCCAACTGCCCCTTCTCAGGTCCTCAAAAGCGCCACCCTCCTTTTCTCTCTTCCATTTCTTCTCTCTGTATTTTTCTTCTTCTCCAATTTTATATTTAAATATCTCTCCTTAGAAATTCAGCAAAAATAAGGCCTGAGGACAGTGACCGTTCCCTTTTACTTGCCCTTGCCTTTCATCCGATTTTCTGGAAAGAAGAGCTTATAGACACAGTCACCATCGAACACAGCGAGGGACACATAACAACAAAGAAATACCAAACCCAGGACTTTATACCTTCTGACCAAAGTCTTGGCCTGATTGGAGTTCTGTTCTGCATCAACTGCCTTTTTTTTTTTTTTTGTGCATGTGTGGCTGCACCTTGCTACCAGAAGCATCTGCTTCTTTATCATAATGTCTGTTTTGAACCGCTGTTTGGAATGCATATAAAAGAGAGCAAGATGCTTTGCAAACACGAGATGGGAAAGTAAGCCTGCACAGTTACTGCTAATGCCATTAGGGCTGTTCCCATATCTAATGCTACTGGTCTTAAAACATTTTCTTTCTCCAAAGAGAAGCAGCTATCATGCCAAGAAGCCATGGTGGGGCTTCTTGTTTTCCAGTTCTGTCATGGAAAGAGCTGGGAGCTACTGCTTCCATTTTTACAGGAATAGTCAAGGAAAACTAAATGTCAAGCACTTTCCTTGGGCCTGTAGAAGAACTGACATCACTGGGTAAGACATCCCCTTACCCATCTTGATAGACAGGTCAGATGTACCAACCTAGGTTGTAAACCTACAGGGAGGATGAGCTGGTAACTCTCATCTGTCCCTAGGGGGAAAGTATAGAGTAGCTAGGGGTAAGAAACATCCTGGGGTCCAATCACCTGTGGACTTTTCTGGTCTGTACTTCCAGAAGTTTCTGACAGTGTCCTATGACTTTTTATAACAAAGGTCGGCTCTTCTGTGAAAAGGACTCAGATCTCCCATCCCCCTAACCTGTCTGTCTCTACCAGAGATGGGGGCAGTCAGCAAGAGTAAAGGCTTCCTGGAAACAGAGATCCCTGCATCCATGGATAAGGACTGGGTATCACTGCAGAGGTTATTTTGAAGATCATAGTCCCAAGTAACAGCCCCTCTCAGAGACTGAAAGACAGACCCACAACTGGAGGGTTTAACCCAACCCCCTTCACACCCTGTCACAGAATTAAGAGAATTCCAATAGACCAACAGTGGATCCAGCTACAAGAGCAGCATTGCATTCCATGAAGGAAAAGGGCTTAAGAGTTCCAGAGGCAGACTGGGGACATAGCTCAGTGGCAGACCACTTGCTAGCATGCAAGAGACCTTTGGGTCCGTACAGCTCCCTAACAAAAAAAAAAAAAAAAAAAAAAAAAAAAAAAAAAAAAAAAAAAAAAAAAAAAAAAAAAAAAAAAAAAAAAAAAAAAAAGAAGCCCCAAAAAACCAACCAATGAATGAACGAACAAATGAGTGAACCAAGCAACCAAAAGAATCAGAGGAATCTGAAACCTCTGCTGCTTGCAGGTATAACCTACACTGACCATAGACTGAGTCCTCTGCAGTTTAACACACACGGTCACATCAAAGACCTAGACACCTCAATACCCAGTTCTCCCATGTTTCAGTGA